TCGACGCGTCAGTGCCGCGCGGCGGCGGGAAATTCTCCGCGCGGGCCCGGGCCCGGGCCTCGGCCACCCCCCAGACGCCTACGCGAAAGCCCAGCGCGCGTACGACGGGACGCCACGGCGGAAACCCGCCGCGGATGCCCCCGGCCGCGCGCGGATCGCGCAGGTGAATCGCCGCGCGTCGGTCTGGGAGGCCTACCGGGAGGAAAAGGGGGGGGGGGGGGGGGGCACGACGCCCCCGCGCGGCATGGCGGGCATCGAAGGGCGAGGATGCGCCCTCCTTGGGGGCGCCGCGCGGAGCCGTGGAGGCCTTGGGGATCGGGGTTTTCACCCCAGTTCTACGCGCGGCAGGTGATTCAGGATGTCCGGATGCTTTGGGGGGGGTGGAAACCGTGGCGTGAGGGGCTCCGCGTTTTCCTGCGGGCGTACCTCGCCGGGCGGCGAGCCCCGCGCGAGAGGACGTTGGTGGATCAGGCCTTTTGGCGGCTCGTGGTTCAGCTTTCCATCGTGTTTTTCGTGCTCGGGTGGGGTTGGTTGGGGTATAAGGTAGTGGCGAAGTTTTGATCTTTTCGTGCTCGGTTGGTTCGCGGCGTTGGCGGACGATCATCTGGCCTTGAGGTTGAGAAATGGTGGGGGGGGGGAGGGGGAGAGAGGGTTTGATGAGGGAATGATCATTGAAAGCACTGAGTTCATTCTGACCGGGTCTGAACTCAGACAGGGAAATATGCTTCGTGCAAAATGGGCTACCCAAGGGCCTTTTTCTTGGCATGGGCCCGTGAATAGCCCTATTGATATAAATGCATTTATATACTTATGGTAACATCCAAAGCGTTTGCTCAATGGGAAACCTTGTTGCGCAATAATGGATGTGAGAATAAGGATCCCTCAAGGAGACGGGGTGTTTGTGTGTATTCTCTCTTTACCTTTTAGGTATGGAGAGCCGAAGAATGACTCTTATTCATTTGACAATGCTATGCACTGGTGTACTGTCTGTCCCAACCCTCTTTCACCATTATACATCGAAAGTATCGATTGATTATTATTTTTTTAGGTGCTTTAATTTCAAATTCAATGAGCTTTTCAGGGTTAGTTCCGGACGACATCTGTGGTGCGTCCACCGTACACCCCCCACCATTGGCAATAACGGTGCCGGCTTACCATTTGGAGGATCCCTTTCCCTCGCGCGATGACGTGCCCTACCCAGAGGAGGTGCACTCCCCCATTATCAACACCACGATTATACAGAAAGCGAACTACCCCACCCCCGAGGCGGCGCGCATCGCCGAGAAGGCTCTGCGCACCGCCAAGACGTACTATAAACTCTTCTTCGACGCGGCGGAGGAAAAAAGAGGAGGCGAGCGGCGGGAGTCCAAAAAGGCGCGCTGCGTCGCGGAGACCCCGATGGTGGAATTCCCCGCCGCGATTCCGAACCACACGCGGGCGGAGAAGTGCAATGGGGCGCCCTCCACGAACGACCACAAGGCCGCGTCGGAGGATTCCGACGAGGGCTCCTCCCCGCTTCAGGTGCATGATACCCTTTACCACACCTTTTTCCCCCCCAAGCTCAGCAAACGCCAGCGAGAGGCGATCACGCGACGCATCATCGGCCGCGAACCCCGGCCGTTCAGCAAATTCGTCTGGCGGAAGTTGAGCCCGCGGTGGGAGGGGAGCGGCAGCCCCGGCGGGCGCGCCCTCCTCGCGATGCCGAAGCTGTCGTTCACGACCTCGCCCCGCCCGTCGCTGCCCTCGCCGGCGGCGGACGCCTCCTTAGGGTGGGGGGAAGAGGGGGAAGGGGGGCGGGCCTCGCTCCTGCCGCGTTTCACCGCCCGTGAGCGGGATCAAGACGGGGCGAAACCCCCGTCCTCGTCCTCGCCGGGATTCCCGACGATGGAAGGGACGCTGTCGTCGATGGAGGGGCCGGAGTGGGCCGCCCCACGGCGGGATTTTCGCGCGCTCGCCACGGTCGACCCGGCGCGCGAGGCCGCCTGCGGGCGGGTGTTGGATCGCTCGACCTACACGATCCCCGCCTCGCAGCAGGGGCCGGAGTATTTCAGCCGCCACGTCCGCGAGAGCGGGGGGAAAACGCTGATCGTCGTGATGGTGGGGCTCCCCGCGCGTGGGAAGACGTTTCTCGCGCAGAAAATCTGCCGTCTTCTGGGCTGGCAAGGGACGCGGGCGAAGGTGATGAACGTGCAGGTCGCGTGGAGTGAGGTGGTGCGGCGGTGGGAGGCCGCGCAGGCGTCCGCGGCCGCTTCCACGCGACCCCCCCCGACGGATGCGCAGCCCAAGCGATCCACCTCCTCGGCGTCGTCGGCGTCGTCCTTTCCGTTGGGGTCGTCATCCGTAGGGAGGGGGGAATCGGGGACGGCCTCGGAAACGACCTCGTGGCGATCCGGACGGGCGCACCGGGGGAATTCGAATTCAACCACCACCACCACCACCGCCCCGCTGCGGTTTAGCGCCCCTGCTTTTCACAACGCCGTGAGCGATCCGCACCTCCGGCACGCGGCGAACGATATCGACGATTCCGTGTTGATGGAGGCGTTTGGGATCGGCCCTGGTGCGGGCGCGGCGGGGTCTCTGGAGCTCCCCCAAGCGGCCGGAGCCGGGCGCGCGAAACCGGCGGAAAAGGACGCGATCCTCGAGGAGCGGGAAAGGGAAAAAGAAAGAGAAAAGACGAAGGAAACAGAGAAAAAAGTCGACGGCCGGGGGGCGTACCTCCGGGTGGACCACTTTCGGCGGCTTCTCTGCGAGCCTGAAGGGGTGGAGCGGGGGATCTATCGCGACGTCTTGGCGTGTTTCGCCGAGGATTGCCGGGAGTTTTTTAGTCAAGGCGGGCAGGTGGTGCTGATCAACGACGACTTCGTAACGGAGGAGATGCGGCGGGAGGTCGAGCGGCTTTTCCGGCCGCTTGCGGAGCATTACATGTACATGGAGGTGCTCCGCGATGAGGGCGTGAGCAGGCGGTTTAACGTGTGCAAAGTACGCGATCCGAGGGAGTACCCGAGGGATTTCATCTCCCGCCGGGATGCGATGCGCGATTTCGAGAAACGCACCCGGCTCCTCAAGAGCCTCTACGAGCCGTTGGAGGATGGGGCCGCCGCGAACACCTCCACCCCTACCACCCCGTTTTCCCCCCCCTCACGGTGTTATCTGAAAGTTCGCAACTCCAACGTGATCGAATCGCACGGCCTTAGTGGGTACCTGGCGAGCCGGATCGTCTTCTTCGCGATGAACCTCTCCCAGACGAGGATGCAGCACCCGATCTACTTCATCCGACATGGGGAGAGCTGCTACAACCTGGAGAATCGGGTCGGGGGGAATCCTCTTCTCACCGAGCAGGGGATGCGCGACGCCTCCGCGCTGCTGGAGTTCCTGAGCTCGCTCAAAACCCACCTCCGGCGGATCGACGCGCTCCGACAGCGCTATCGCCGTCGAAAGCGCCGTCATCGGGCGGAAAAAGCGCGGGAGGTGGAAGCCGAAAGGCAGGGAGCGGAGGAACGAAGAGGAAAAGGCGGCGCGATCGCCGTGGGATCGCGCGAGACGACCTCGGAGGATTCCACGGCGCCCCCACTCGCGCGCCCGCGGCGCTCCCGCACGCACACCCTCGAGCTCTGGACGAGCCAACTGCAGCGCGCGATTCAGACGGCGGAGCTGGCCGAGCGCCTGTTGAACCTTCCCACCCTGCGCTGGAGCCGCCTGAACGAAATCCACGCCGGGGTGTGCGAGGGGATGACCTACGCCGAGGTCCTCGCGCAGTACCCTTTGATCGACACGTTTCGCCGCAAAAGCAAGTACACCTTTCGCTATCCGGACGGGGAAAGTTATCAGGACCTCGTCGCCCGCCTGGAGCCGATTATTCTCGAATTGGAGAACACCGATCGGGTGGTGGTGGTGGTGGCCCACCAGGCCGTCCTCCGCTGCCTCCTCGCATACTTCGGCAGCACCTCCGCGCAGAGCAGCGTCTGCCTCCCCGTCCCCCACCGCACTGTCTGGCGTTGCGGGTACGACTCGAAGGGGATCGCGAGCCTCGAGGAGCTCCGCCTCGACGACTCCACCGCGGGGCTGCCGCCGGGGAGGCTCGACTTCGCGAACCCCACCGAACCCCACGACGAGAATCCCCTCAACGGCGCCACGTGAACAGACGGACGGAAGAAAAAAGGGGAGGGGGGGGGCATCGGAATCGTCGATTATCCGGTCGGGGGGTTTCTTTTACCCTTTTCTTGGTTTCTCCAACTCACGCCATCTCTACGAAAAAACAGCCATTTATATGAAAGCTGCCAGTGCTTTCTGGGTTTTGGGAATTCCATTCAAAATGTTCCCCTTGTTCGTCACCAAGGGGGGGGTAGGGGGAGAGATATGTAGCCAGTGGTTCTCGAGTTTTGGAGTTTTAATTTTTTTCCTTTTGAATCGTTTATGTTTCCTATCCTTCGTTTAGAAGATGGTTTCTGCTTTGATAGCTATTCGTTTTTTTAACGCAGACATGGGATACGTCGTGGGTGTGGTGGGTTTGTGAGAGGGTATACAAAAAGATAAACAAGAATAAAATAGGTAAGTCGATCGAAGATCGGGAATATTAAATATCCCTTCCGTGATGGGAAATCAAGCATGGGAGTGATTTATTAAAATTATTAAATTACTCATCGGAGTGAAGTAACAGGAAGGAAACCAGAGGATGTGGCAAGACGCTTTTCAGGGTGTCTTCAATCGAATTCCACCTCCTCACTTTTGTATAGTGTTTATCAAAAGATAAAATGAACAAGCCATTTTTCTATACGAGAAAGTTTTAAAAACACTAGTTGGGTGTTCCACTAGAATCTGTAATGAAGTATGTGCATCTGCAGTATGCGTGTCCAAGAAAAAAAATACACACCCATGTGTATATATTGTAAGTGTATCTGTATAAGTACTAACCTTCGTGGATGTAGGGGAAAAGATGCCACGGATGAACAAGGTTATATTCACTTATTTCTCAAGCATACATTTTTAATCATAATGCACTTTACTTATGCAGAGTATTCCCTCTCGTATTCTTCTACCCCCATATTATCATTGTTCTTTTTAGAATTGCATAATTTTGACTATGTCAATAATTTGCACGTGTCGATCGGGTAATGCACTTTTTTCGCTGTTTCCTCTTCCTCGTACATGTAGTAGACATCGACTACCTCTTATGCATTCTACCTGATCTTTCTTATCCTCTTCTTGGTCTCGCTGAGTTAAGTGATTTTATTAAAGTATGCAAGTTTGCTAAAACATCCTAATATTTCATTGAGGTATATTTTTTCCCCATACTTTTTTTTTTAACGAGAAAGACACACAATTCAAGTTTCTTGTAACGTGTTTCACTAGTTTTATTTGCTTACGCATCAGGCCACGTTTCTGTATCCTGTCACCTTTCCCTTCAAACGTCGGCACTGCGCAAGAAGAGCAAAGAAACCGAACCTTTTGTTATCCCCAATAACTCCTGGCGCTTCTAACGTATCGGTAACGTTTATTAAGAGTCCATACACAAGCACTCCCTCTCACCTTTTTCGATATTAGATTTTTCATCGAAGAAGGTGGGTAAGCTGATTCTACGTTAACGTTTTACTAGTTACCGCGGAAAGAGAGCATCACCGTTAACGACAACTGCTGTGGCACCAAATCTATCGAACACGATGCTGATTCGTCAGGAAGCGGGGTTATTCCCTAGGAGAAGGCTTGCCATGGCAAGCCCTTTGGCTCGGCGTAGTGGTTACCGCAATTGTTGTACCTCGGAAAGCGTTTATCGGCGCCCGCTGCATCACTTCGTGGCGCCCCCTTGCCAACCGGCCTCTCTATTTTGCTTTTTATTTGACAACGTCCCGCCGCGAAGGGGTGTGAGCGAGATATTCTGTGGGTTGGATGCGCGCAGTCTCTTTGGTCGTGCCCCTGCCGCCGCCTCTTCCTCCCCCTCCTCCTCTTCCCCCAGTACCTCTTCGAGGAGTCCGTTCGGGCTGACCTCGATTAACCTGACGGCGCGCTTTCATCAGATGCGCGGCTGCTGCTCCCACGCCTCGAGTGGTTCGTCCGAGGAGGACCCCACGGCGGCGGGCTCGACCTCGACGAGCCGGGATTCCCACCGGGGTGGGGCCGACGAGGACGCCCCGGTGATTTCCTTCCCCGCCATCGCGGAGGCGTGTGTGGAGTTGGGGCTCTGCTGCCCCGTCACCGGCCGCCCCTGCCCGCGCTGGGAGGCTGCCGAGCTGAAGGCGCGCTACCGCGACCTCGTCCGGGTGAACCACCCCGATGTCAACGGCGGCGACCACCAAACGATGGAGCGGATCAACCTCGCGTACGCGCGGCTGAGCGCGCTCGGGGGGGCCGAGCAGGCGGGCTTCGCGCGGTGGATCGCGGAGGAGGGCGAGGGCGGCTACGACGGCTACGTCGCGCGGCGGCGGTGGACGACCGCGACGCGCGGCCCACGTCTCTCCGCGGATACGATGCAGCTCGTCGGCGCGGGGCTCTCCTTGACGGTGGTGTGGGGCGCGGCGTGGGGGGTCCTCTCCCTTTTTAGCCCCACCCAGGCCACGGGGCCGACCTCGACCTCGACCTCAGCCTCAGGGTCAGGCGCGGGAGAGGGAAAGGGAAAGGGATCGGCCTCTGGCCCAGCCTCGCTACGCCAACGTGGGCCGGCCTCCGGCTCCGGCCGTGGCCTGTCATGGGTTGCCACCGCCACGCCCCGGCTCGCGTTGGTGCTGCGCCCCCTGACGCGAATCGCGATGGTGTTGTTTTCGAAGTACCTTCGCGGGGTCGTCGCGCTGCTCGCGGTGGGCTCCGTCCTGCGGAACGTGTTCCCACGGGTTGTGGTGTGAGGGGCGCTTGCGGAGGGGAGGGGGGGGGAGGCGACCCTTCTCGGGGGGAACGCGGGTAAATCCGTCAGCTACCTCCGCAGCCACCGCATCAGTATTTCCCACCCTCCGCCTCTTTCCCCACGCTTACGCTCACGAATATAATAAATAAATAAATCGTTAAATAAATTTAACTATATAAACCAAGGAATTTCGATAAGGTAGTCAGAATGCTTGTGGAGAGTAGAGGGGGATCTCCCTAGAGCAATAATAAGGATCGACATTAGAATTTTAGCGTGACGAGCTTCGCTATTTTACAGAGATTCTGTCGGATTTAAATTTTTGGTGTTCAAAACGTGGGGTGTGAATTTGATCGCTTGGTAAGGGCTATTTAACTCTGAAATGGGTTGTGCGTATAAGCTCGTAGGTCGATCAGGGGGTAGTGCTACACCACTTCCCCTCTTTTTATTTCATTTTTTAAGTATGCTTTTCGAGAATAGCATGGTGACAACGATGGGTCTGAGGAGAGGTCCTACTGTCTTTGGTCCTATTTGAGAGTTCACCCGGATGAGAAGGAATACCAAAATATAAATAGGCGGTCTTGCTTTAGCTGCCATTGCTATTATGTACTTGTATTTCTATATAAATATACTTGGATGCAGAAAAACGAAAACACGGCCATTATAGAGGTGCTTTTTTTATTGTATGCCACCCTTTTCTTATATAAAAGCAAAAAAATCTTCTATGATGCTTTGAGAGATTCTGGAGTGTTTTTTGAAGCAAAATCGAAAGCGGTATAAAGGGACTCTTTTTCTTTCAATAAGGATAAAAGATAAATTAACGAAGGACAAGGAATGTTTTGAAGCTGAATCGTCTATTACTATTCAGTTTCACAGTTATATATATATATATATAGATATACCTTTGGTTTTTTTTGGAGGGGGTATTTTCCTTTGTTGTGATTCTTTCTTATTTTTTTTTTTTAATATATAATGAAATAAAGAACGAGGACTACAGGTGAACAACAAGAACAAGCACAGTGTTGAATAGGTGGGTAACTACAAGCCCTCAGAATGGATGCACTTTCTGCCGTATAATAATAATTATTATAATTATTATATGTTTACTTTTTTTTTGAACTGGTGGCGGTGTCCGTTATGGCTAAAGGTGTGATTTTGGTTTGAAAATTATGTCCAGTCGATTTACCTGTCTGCAATGAAAACACTATTTAATATTCAATATGATTTTTGAAATATCAATGAAATAAATAAAATCGATTTAAAAATATCCTCAAAAAAAGAAAGGAGAAAAGCAAAGCATTCTCTAGAGGGTAATGAAAAAGATAAGGGAAAAATGTGTAGAAAACAAAACGTCGCAGGACCAAGAGGCTCCTCTTAGTGTATATTACCAATGTGTTATATGTTATACCTTCATTCAATCTATACGACTCTCAGAAGGGTGATCTCTAGACATATTTTTTCCTTAACACTCAGATGTTGATATTATCGGTTCCGTTTTTTCTTGTCCACTTATTTACTTATGAGTACAATCATAATGATTTTTTTCTTTCAATAGATAGGACTTGATTTTTGTTTTTCTCAATTTATTATTCCTATTAACATCATGCTTCAATCATTTTTGAAAACCTTTCTGAGAATGAATGTGTTGTTTCAAATATTCAGCTTTTTAAAAACTTTATGAAGAAAAAACAGGTTAAAAAGAGGACAAAAAGGCACCTATATGAGGGCACACTTCCCCCTTTTTTAAAAAAAGGTCAATAACGAAAGTATTTCAGGTGTGAATTATTCATTAATTATTCGATTACTGTATTTACTATTTACAATGACACACTAGAGCCAGACACCCATTACTTTCTTTCCCTTTTCACGACTCCAAGAGGAGGAGGGGAGGGGGGAGCGGGGGATGTAATTTAATTATTAGTACTTACCTTTAAATATAGAGTTCTGATAGGGTGTAATGAAATGAGTAAACATACCACTGTTTATTGCATACCATTTTGTTCGTTTTTTGCACATGTTCTTTTTCTATTCTACCCTTTCTTCTCTAAATGTTTTGGATTACCAAATCCATCAGAACTAGTTAGTGATCCTCATTACCCGGGCAAAAGATTTGTTAAACCATATCGTACCGCCGTTTTTTCTTTTTAAATAGGTATCTTATTTTATCGTTTTTTTCTTATCGAAAACTGAACTAAGTGATCTATTGATGCATACAAACGCACATCAATATCTAGCTACTATACACATTCAAACATATATTATTATTAATGCGCAGCTACCATTTGTGTAGCTCCCCTGCTCCAAGAGATTGTGTTGATATCGAGGGCAGATTCTGCATCGGGCAGGGAGAGATCGCGGGATCGCGCAGGAAGGCGACATGCTCAATTGGTGTAGGCGCGAGAGGGCTACGATGGCGTGTGATGCGGCAGCGCTCCTCCGCGCCGCTTCTTTTTCTTCCTTTTGGTTGTTTTCCTCCTTCCCGTCGGCCCTTGCCCTCGGGTGGAGGTTTCGAATCGCTGCCTTCGCGATTGATGATGGACAGCCACACGTGGGGGCGCGTTCCGGAGAGGGAATCCACAAGGATGAGCTCCTGTGCGACGTCAACAACCACAGCTCTCTTTTCTCCACCCCTTCCGCTGTTTAAAGTCACTGGAAGGATCGCGGCGGTTGGGTTTTGTTCGTGCGAATCCGCGCGGTGGGGGGGGCTGCTGTGGGGTTTGGGCAGGCGGGATCACCGTGGCGTCGCGACGGGCGGGCGTCTTTTCACCGCGCGGCGCCACGCGAGCGGCGTCGGGGGGCGGCCGACCCATCAGGAGATCGCGGAGGACCTCGTCGTGCTCGGCCTTGCCGGCCAAATCGACTTTTCCGAGGCGGCTCTGAAGAAGCGCTATCACGAGTTGGTGCGCAACCACCACCCCGACGCCGGCGGCGACGAGCGCGCGATGGTGCGGATTACCATCGCGTACAACCGCCTCAAGCGGCTCACCCCTGCCGAAAAGGAGGAGTTCGCGCAGCATCAGCGGGCGTTTCGCGGCGCCTCTTCTTCTTCTTCTGCTTTTTCCTCCTCCACCTCGACGTCGTCGTCGTCTGCGAAGGGATTTCGCGCGAGGCAGGGGTGGAGTTACGCCGCGGGGAGCCCTCACTCCGATCCGTTCGAGCGTCCTGACAGCGCGGGCGACGCCTACCCCCAACGCGGCGCGACCCCCCTTCGCGGTGAGGATTTTTGGCGCCACTACCAACGCCACTACCAGCGCATGCAACGGGAGTTTCAACAGTCATCCGGCGGCGGCGCCTTCTCCGAGAACCCGTTTGCGTATCGCAACTCCCTTCATATGTTTCCGCATCTCCGACGGGTGCGGGCGCCACGGCTCACGACGCTGCTCCTCCACGCCCTTGTGATCTACATTTTCCTCGTGCTGCTCTTCGCGGCGTGGCGGGAGCGGCGGGAGGAGAACGGCTGGCGCGTCGCCGAGCACCTCGCGCGATACGAACAGCTCCAGGCCCTCCATCAACTCCGCGCAGGGTGGTCGGAGGAAGGGGGGGAGAGGGAAAGGGAAAGAGAGGAGGGGAGGGAGGGGCCGTACGCGCGGGAGCTGCGCGCCCTGGCGTACGCGCGGCAACGCCAGCTCGCGGTGGAATTGCCCCGCAGCGATGGATGGCCTACGATCACCGCCGCGGAGGGGCGGGTGGTGTGGGATCCGCAGGATCCACCGGGGGTTTTGTCGTACGAGCCCCCTGCCTCCGTGTGGGTGGAGGAGAGGGAGGGGGAGGGCAAGGGCTACCCGCCAGCGCCGCAACCTCCTCTGTCGCAGAGGGGGGACAACGTCCTCCCCACTGAGGCGGCGGCAAGCACGCGGCGGTATGCGCAAGATGTCATAAATGAGATTTTCGGCGCGGCGAAGGTGGCTTCGAAGTCGAATGCGGCATGATGCCCTGATCTCCCCCCTGTTGAGAGCAGGAGGAGGACTAATAGGCAGGGAATGATGAACAAATGCGAATATTTTGGTTGGTATTTATGGAGGATTCCTTCTCCTTTTTTATATTTTGTTCGTGTTTTGGTATCTACTTTCGTACATCGAAAACAAGGGGCAATGTTGCATGATTGCTTCTGAATGATGTTATGCACGCACTGAGAATATATTCCTATAAACAGAAAGTAATGGTGGTATTCCGTTTAGTATGAAAGAACTACAGTTAAATGCATAAATATGCTTATTTATTTATCTATTCTCATATCAAATATTCGTTATTCTATGTATAATGTGTAGGATAGGCACAAACATACATCCTTTAATACAAGTGTACAAAATACCCATCCGTGCACTGCGACAGACATCGTAACGCCGAATATTTAATCTGACGTTCCTTTTTTTTACCGTCCAATTACTGACCTGTCATGGAGGTCAAAGCTAAGGACGAGACACCGCTGCGATCTACGGAGGATGAGGACTTGTGCGCGATGTTCAGGAACCTTCTTTCCGGTGGTCTCACCACGGCGGACGATCTCAAAGACTTCGGGTTTAGCCGCGAGGAGGTTGAACAGTTCCTGGAGGGCGTCTCCCCACCGTCTTCCTCGCCGTTGGCGTTCAACCCTTCCACATCAGCGGGATTTCACCTTTCTCATTCGCAATCGTCTTTGCCGCGTGGCGGATCGGCCTCAGGGAGCCTCGAGGTAAACGACGGCACGGCCTCCACGCGGAAGCGATCCCCTCCCAACGACGACCCCTCCCTCGTTGCGTTGGCAGCAGGGGAGCTCCAGCCGCCGCCGCCGCCGTTCACTCGGCCGGTGAGCGAAGCCGGGCGCTCCGCCTTCAACCGCGACGTCGCGCAGGCGGAGATCACCCGGGTGAAACTCCAGCGCTCTTCGGAGAGGCTTCATCGCGCCTCCCTCTATTTCCTGCGCGCGCAGGAGAGTAGGGAAAAAGACTCGAGCACCACATTTCAAAGCACCTGCGGGGCGGGGGATGCGGGAAACGCGGATTCGCCTCCCTGCAAGGCCAATGGCAAGGAGCCTCAAGCGACAGGGAAAGTGGACGACGGCGTACCGGTCTCAGGCGAGATCCCGAGCGAGCTTCCCCGTGCCGTTCTCACGACCAACGCCAAGGAGCTATCCGAGGACGGGTTGAATACGGCCCTACGTGTAACAGGGAGCGATATCATGGTGGGAAAAGAGATCGCACTGCTCCTCCAACAAAAGGACACTATGGAAGAATGTGATGAATGCCTAGACGATTTTTATGCAAGAAGACAGCATATGTGTAATGAGAAGTTTGCAGGCCATAGTTGAGACTTTTTCACAGCGTTGGTCTTCCAACGCAACAATCATAAGGATAAATACCCAGTCTGTGTAAGTGCAAGGTTAGGATACTCCACTATGAGTAAAGCATAGGATTATAAAGCGTCCCTTCAACACAAGATCCTACAAATGAATAAAAAATTGCGAAAATAGGAGTATAAAATAAATATATGATAGAGAAATGTACGACATAGAATCTTTGCATAAAGAAATTAAAACACTGAGTATAACTTTCAGGAGCAAAAAACAGCAAGAATTAGCATAATCTGTAGCTTAAACAGATTTTAAATCTAAAACAAGAAAATAACACAGACACTAATTTTGGAATTAATCGTGTTAAATGTTTCTAATTCATTTTTAAAAATTCTAATTAATTGATAGTCATAATTTAGGTGCAACTAATAAAAGCACGTCAAATGACCGGTGATTTTCGCAGCTCGCCGGCGGCCGCGCGGGGCTCGGGGATGCGAATCTGGTGGAGGGG